AGTTACTTGAGCAAGTAGACTGAGGTCCTGGTTGTCTGCATAGGAGCACCATTTTTTCTTAGTCACTAATTGGCCCACAGGTTATATCTGGCCAGCAGATATAACACTTGGCCTGTTTGAAAACAGCTTATCTAAATCCACCTCAGCAGCCCAAAGTAGAAAACGAGCCTGTCATGTGTGAGCCGGGGCTCCACATTCCCTGCAGTGTCGCTATGATAAGGAGCTGAGAAGCCACCCCATTGGGGCATGCCTCCTCCATTTCTCACAACTTGCCCACATCCTACAGCTATGCCACTTCCTTGGTCCTTGTAAGGATGTGAGTTAGCAAAGCCCGGCAGTTCCTGACTCCAGAATATGTACTATTATCCACTGTGTTTTTGCCTTCTACACACCTGGAAAGTCTTGCAGCTAAGAGAGAACGTCCCTATCTCTACTAAGTTTAGTTACAAGTGGCACGTATAGAAATGCAATAGTGCTTGGGCTCCAAAATCCCCTCAGTAGAATCTGCAATCCCACCCTTCCAATTCGGTCAGTGTACGCTACAATATACGTCTTTAGTTGGGTTAGGAGAAAAGGAGGTTTCTATAAGGAAATGAGAAGATTAAATAACTCAAAAAAACTCTCTGAAGGCCCAAATGGCTAATGCTGATCTGTAAAAAGTCTCTAAGTGCCCTGAACTTGATTAGGTTTGAATTTGATCCATCCCAGATTCACATTTCTAAGTAAGTTTTCTAGTGAATTATTTCAGATCAATCACCAAGCCTAGCTGTTTTTAGGTTCAGGTAGAAAAATTACATTGACCTGCACTAAAACCTAAGGATGACCAGGAATAAAAGATTTTCCCCAAAATAGTTGAAATGGAGTATTATATACTTAATATAGAATAATCAGTATAAAAAGAATTTATCAGAAATTTTCTTAATATTTTTATAATTTTGTAATTGAGAGACACCAGACTGAAACGCCTCAAAAACTTCCAACTCACTTTGCTATTTCTTAATCTGATCTGATGGAGAGAGCACAAGCATGGTGTTTCAGCAATGCATCTTTAAAATTGAGCTAATATGCCAAAAGGAATTCTGACACGTTTGGAATATTTGTCTTCTGAAAGATGAGCAGTCATGTAAACAACATGTTATCTTAAAAAGCAATCTGTATGTTGTTGTTAGTCGCCATGGAGTTGTCTTCATAACATAGTGACCCCATGTATAACAGAACAAAACAATGCCAGCACTGAAAATTCTTGGTATGTTTGAGTCCATATTAAGTTATACATTAGGATGTTTTAACATTATTTTATCAGAACTTTATCTATAACCCTCTACTTCTCACAACTGTGTGACATGGAAATGTCCTTGGTTTTCCTTATGTGTAAAATGAAGAGTTGATCAGGATCACTCACACCTTAGCTTTCTTCTTTCTCTAACTGATAAAAGATGGGAAAGGAGTTTTAAATGTTGTGACTTCTTTACAAAGAGACGCTAATGTTTCTGATCATGTTCTTTAATGAAAGATAAATCTAAACTTAACTTGATGAGGTGAAGAGTATAGCCTGGCCTTAGTGTCCAGCTCCAGTGCTTATCAGTTGGGTAAGCTTAGGCAAGTTGTTGAAGATATCAGTCTCTCATTTTTTGTCTACAAAATGGAATAATGATAGTATCTAACCCACGAGGGTGAGGTGAGAGTTAAATGAGGCAATTTATATAAAGTGCTTAGAATAGTTCCTGGCACATTGTCAAGTGTCCAACAAATGTCAGCCCTTATTCTACTGATTTATTAAAAGTGAGGAGAGCCAGATTAAACAGGTGCCAGAGATTTGTTTTCTGGATGACTTTCTTTTTGCAAATAACCCTCATGACCTCAGGGAGTAAACATATCCAAAATTGGAGCACTTCACAACCATCTCACATGTTGGAGCAGGCCTTTCTTAAATCACTGCTGCCAGAGACTTTATATATTTTTCTTTTCTGAACAATTTTAGGGGAATTGATTTCACATTTGCACCAATACAAATCAAGAACAACTCATTAACATTGAAATTCTAGACATGTGTAATAGTTATTTTTATGAGCTGAGATTATTTATGTACATAGAAAACACTGTTCCTGCAGGCAGACTATTAATGTTTTGAATAACATCAAGGGAATTAATTGATACAGTATTGATTTACTCTTATTGAAAGCTAATGATGACCATAGATAAGCCATCTATAAAGCTTATTTTTTAAAAGTAGAAGAATGTGATATAAAGTTCTCTATGAACTACTAAATAATCTGTTTTTAAAAAGTCAAGTAAGATTTCTAGGATGGGAACAAAAGAATTCTGAAAGAGCATGCTTAGTCACCATTTTTGTTTCAACATCCCAAATGGAGTATTTGGCAATTATACATAAATATACACAGGAACAGTTTGGGTGATAAACAAATTACAATAAGATCTTAGTACTAAAATCACTTAAAGAAAACTATGTAAATATTTTAAAACCCATACCTAGGACATCTTTGAAACCATAGGATTGTACTAGGAAGAAAAGATCACAGTCTCAGTGAAGACTCAAATTCTATTGTATTTGTTGGAAACCCTCTGACTCAAGTGAGGCCCAAATTGAAGTGGGAGGAGGAATGACAAGGAACATCTTAAATACTAATTATTGGATTGGATCGCATTTACCCACTGGCTAGAATAGATCAGATTTAAGGGCTCTTGTCACAACCCTAGATTGAAGTTGGGTGTAGTAATAAACCCATCTTCTTAGGATAGCTGCATGATAATCTAAATGAAGTACTCATTTGGTAGCATTCAGAAATTGTGTCCTGAATATTCTGAGTAAAATTAAACATGGGGAAAAAATACAAAGAGAACTAAAATAATTAAGAACATCAGATACCAAGCTAAGAAGTGAACATTTACTTCATTTTATAATCATATAACAACTAAAAAAACTAAAGCTTACACAGAGAGAAAGGGGAGATTAAATTATCTCTGACTTCAAAAACTATATCCTCTCCTCTCTGCACTGTATTTTCTTATATATTTTAGGCAATCTTTTCTGTTTTTCATACCCAAATTGTAACTACATTTGTAGATGATGAAATAATTTCACTGGCAATGTGATTAGGTCTCATGGGAGGAACTTGCCTCTAACTGACAAACCCAGAATAGAAACAGGGGCAGAGGGGGAACAGTTTTATTCAATGTTGTTCTTTTTGTTTTGGCTTACTTGCCCTCTACATTGTCTTTTTCACTGGTATGTTCCCAACCCCAAGAAGATCACCTGTTAGAATGCTCAATCATTTGAGAGAATTGGTTAAGGGTTACTCTTTTTCTCTGATCTCTTTATAGGCCTCAGAGGTGCCAAGTTTATCTGCTTTCAAGAACGCCAGTGGCACAGTGAATGCTTTAACTGTGGGAGATGCTCTGTCTCCCTGGTGGGTGAAGGCTTCCTGACCCAGAACAAGGACATCTTCTGTCGTAAATGTGGCCCTGGGATGGACACCGACCTCTAGACAAAGACATATGTTTCCACCTGGACTCCACATAGCCTTTGTTCTCACTAAATCCAGAACTTGGTTGAAGTGTAGTAGGTTTTGTTTTTTGCTTAAGTTTTAGAAAATATTAATATAGAGTTCAGAGCTGAAGAGTTTTTGCACACATTCTGATTGACCTGTAGCATAAGAATGAAAAGCACACACACACACACACACACACAATTCTAATAGACTTGACTGTAGAGTAAATCATAAAAGCACATAGCCCTGTAAAATACTACACTCAGTTGGAGACTTTGGGCACTGACTCTTCATTGGAATCAATTATGTGGGTTATACCTAAGACTCATAGTTGTTATTTCTGAAAAATTATGGTTTTCCAAAGTTTCAAAGACAAAAAAAAAGCTAGCAAATTGAATGACATTTATGAAATTAATATTTGCATTCCTAGGTAACTGGTTGTACCTAATGTGATAGATTGTAAGTAATAGAACAATTGATGTGACTTATAACACCTTTACCAAGGAACCCTGGTGGCATAGTGGCGAAAGTGCTAGGTTGTGAACTGGAAGGTCATCCGTTAGAGCTCAGCAGCTGCTCTATGGGAGAAAGAAGTAACAGTCAACTTCCATACAGATTTACATCCTTGGAAACTCTATGGGACCATTCAACTCTGCCCTGTCAGGTCGCTACGAGTTGGAATTGATTCAACTCCATGGCAGTAGGTTTGTCCTCTTGATCATTCTTTTATTGTTCACACATGTGATTCTGGAGTTGAAAAGCAAAGCTGCAATTTTCCCTCACACACAACTTGCACAGCTTGTTGATTTCCATCCCATATTTGAGCAAAAGACCTTGAGAACTGACGTCACTATGACTCTCATATTCTGCATAGTTATAAAAGGGGTCATTTCTACCAATGGATAGTTAAAACATAGGATTATTAATTTTATATTAAATGTATTTTTACATTTATTATAATTTTTAGTATTAAAACACATTGGATATAAAATGAACGTCTCTTCTTTCAAATAGACAGGATAATCATTGTCCCCAAAGGCAAACCTTTAAAGTAAATAGATCATTAAATCATCTCTGTGGAAATGA